GGGCACCATCTAGTTCTTCTGGTCTCATAGTCGTATAGGCGGCAGATCAGATGGTGTACCAGTCACTAGCACTAATCATTTCCATGAGTTTTGGTTTTCTTCATTCTTCTTTGCTCTGGATGAGGAGACACCCATCATTGCATCTAGATGGCAGCTTGCTAGCTTTTAAGATCCCTTAAAGTAGGAGGTGGAATGATGTTTTGTATAGTATGTTATGCCAATTGAGCTTGATGTCCCCTGCAACTATGGTCCCAAGCCTGCAGGTTCCACTACTCGGTCCCTCTAGGTAGCTGGCTGTGACCAAGCCTAGACCACATCCTTACCCCTTGTCAGCTCTACTATATACCTGGGAATTGTGATCATTCACATAAACTTATAGGACCACTGACAATCTGCTTTTGAAAGGTCACAACCTTGAAAACCCTACGGAGCAATTGTATCTGCACACAAATTCACCATCAGTCAGAATTGACTTGAAGGCAACTAGAACAAGTGCTGGATGTATCCAGACTGCCATATGCCTCTCTCCCCAAAAAAGCTCAGAGTGTAACCTTATTGAGTCTGCATGACTCTGGGTTTTCCTGGCTTCTTGGCTTTTATGGTCCAAACTAAGCTAATGTTAGATATTCATTGGCATTTGGGTAATCCTTCGAGTACTGAATCTCATTTGATTGATTTTAGAACTATGCTTAGTTACCCATTTCACTCTTGGGAAACTTGATTCCGGCTATGACTTTGGTCTTGGAACTAATGATTCCTACCTTTAATTTCTTCCATTTGTTTCTGTATTCTTAAGATTTTTCCGCAATGAGAATATTTAGCATTGCGTTCATTGAGTGTTAATTTCAGCCCCAAGATCCAAGTCTGGTGATTAAAGACAGATATATAACAGGACAATTGTAAGTTTAGGCCTTGAGCCCTTCTAGTTAAATGTTATTTTAATGCATCCATTTTACTTACAAAATTTAAATCTAAATTTAAATAATTTCTTTTCCTATTTATTCTCATCTGCAAGAACCTTTGGGAATAATGAACTCTTGTTTTCTTTTTATTTGTCTTCATTTTTTCCTAGTTTAGAATAGAGCACCTTTTAAAGTCTGTCTTATTTTTTGGAGAATAATTTCTGTTTCATTATTTAGAACTGTTTGTCATCTTTCCCAAACATTAAATAGTTTTTAGAAATGTTTTAAGAATTTGCCATCAATGTTCATACTTACCAAATTATTCTTTGCTGTCTTTAAGGCAGTGTCTTCTAAACTTTCATTCCTGTTTTCCTTGTCATATTGCCTCATTTGTTTATTGATTGAATTCTTTTCCCTCTTCTTTTTTTGATATTTCCTTCTATGTTCCCTTCTTCCTTATCCTTTACCCTTAAAAACCCTTTTAATATCTGCCAGTTGTTGTCATGAATTTACTTTTTCTTTTCCTGATACTTAAATATCTTTATTCATATTTTGGATTATAGAAAAATTCCTGGTGCTGCCTTGTAAATTCATGACTCAGTATGATGGTGATTTATTGTATTTTTTACACTCTTTATACTTTATTTCAAATACCCTTCCCCAAGTAATATCTTTACAAGGCAATAATTTACTTTAGTTTCTTCCTGTTCTTGTAACTTTGCTTCATTTCATCCTTCTTACTGTTATTAGATGCTCTCAAGTTGATTTTTGGACTCATAGCAACCCCATGTGACAGAGTAGAACTGCCCCATAGGTTTTTCTAGGCTGTAATCTTTTATGGTGCAGTGGTTAAAGCATTCTGCTGCTAACCACAAGGTTGACGGTTTGAACCAGCCACTCCATGGAAGAAAGATGAGGCAGCCTGCTTCTGTAAAGATTTACAGCCTTGGAAACACTATGAGACAATTTTATTCTGTCCTATAGGGTCACTATGAGTTGGATCAACTCAATGGCAGTAGGTTTGGTTTTCAGTGGGAATCTTTATGAGATTGCTAAGTCTTTCTCCTGCAGAGGCGCTGGGTGGGTTCAAACTGCTGACATTTTGATTAGCAGCTGAGCACTTAACCATTGTACCACTACACCATCTTCATTTGGTCTTATTATCTTCAAAAATGAAGTCTTAATTTATAAGTATGAAAAATAATACTCTATAAGTCATTTTCACATTTAAGAACTTTGAAGGATAGAGAAGTGAAATAATCTATTTTAATTTTAATTTCCTTCGTAATGTATGCTAATCTCCAGTGTGCATGTTGCATTTTAATGTCAGTATACACTAGGAAGCAATTTAAATAAAAATCTAGCCTTCAGAGATCATGTGAAAAACTTTTTCTGGGTCCCTGATGAGTGGGAAAATGGCTAGCAATTTTATATCTTCTCAGTACAACTTTCTTTACAAAGCTGCTTGTAGGCAATCTGAAATACTATGTCCATATTGTTTAGATTTCCTTTCCTTTAAGAGTATACAGTATTTATTTGTATTATAATTACAAGCTCTGTAAATTCTGTTTCAAAACTTGTTTCAAGTCCAGATTTATCTGAGTACATCTTAACTCTTAGTTTCTTAATGCTGCTTCAACAAAAGTACCACAGGTGGGTGCTTTTCAAGAATAAAAATTTGTTTCTCCACAGTTTGTTGTTCTGTGCTGTTGAGTCAATTCTGATTCATAGTGACCCTATGCACAGAGTAAAACTGTCCCATGGGTTCCTAAGACTGTACATTTTTAGAGAAATAGGCTGCCTCATCTTTCTCCCACAGAAGTGGTGGGTTCAAACTGTCAACCTTTCTGTCAGCAGCTGAGCATTTAACAACTATGCCACCCAGGCTTCTTTCCTCCCAGTTTAAGAGGCTTTAAGTCTGAATTCAAGGTACTATCTTTCGGGGATGGTGCTGTTTGTCTGCCCTGGAGGAACATCTTTGCCTGAGCTTCTGTAATCCTGATGTTTCTCAGTTCCTTGTAGATCCTCATAGGTGCTTCTGTCTTCCCAGTTTGTGCTTGCTTTGGTATCTAATCTGCTCTTTTTAGATCTCAAAAGTGATGAGCTTTAAGACACAACATACTGATATGGGCTTATTATCATAACAAAACTTTATTTCTGGACAGGATTACATATACAGGTATAAAAGTTAACGTTTCAACACATATCTTAATTGGACATAGTTCAGTCCTTAACACCTCACTGTCTCCTTGCTCTTCCCCTTCCTTAGCTTCCTAGAAACATAAAACATTTCATATTAAACCTTCCACCCTACCATCTGTTTTGAGTTATTATTTCCATGAATAAATGATCACTCAGACAACAGTAAATATTCCTTTCATTTTGCCCAGTCTACAAAGCTCCTTCAATGAATTCTGGCTTTTTAATTTTTCAATAGATTGTTATATCTGAGTCGCTGTGGAAGGTACTTAGAATACACATCTCTGATAATGTTGATTGAAAGAATCCAGTTGTAGATGAAAAGTCTGGAAATGAGTAACATATCTTGTTATCATTTCAGACATTATTTCTTGCTGACGTTTTTCTCATTAAAATCACAGTATCTCCAGCTAAACTTTTCTCTTGTGATTTTCATCTCCCAGGAGTATTTGTTTGTATTTTTTCCATGGTACTAGTTTTATTCACTAGCTTTGGCCTCTCACCCATCCTATCGTATTTTGTGTTGTTAAGAATTTCTCTACTTTTTAAAAAGAGTTCTCCTCGGTAAGAAATGCTTATTCAAATGTAGAACAAAATGCAAAATCAATCATAAAAAGGACCGAGCTTACTGGTCATTTAGAGACCGGTGGAATCCCCAAGACTATGGCCCTTAGTCACCTTTTAAACCTGGAACTAAACTTACCTCTGTGACTCAGTTTTCAACCAAACAACAGACAGGTCTACAAGGTGAGCATAACACTAGGGAGGTACACATGTCATAGAACAATCAAACATTTGAGATCAAAAGGGCAGTATTTGCCCTAGGATAAATTTCAGACAGCAAGAAGGGTTAGGAAAGAAGAGGAATGGAAACAAGAAATGGAGAAGTGGGATGAGTAATAGTGTATTGAGGGGATTGCCGTCAATGACATGAAAGAAAATGTGATGAGCTGTTGAATGGAAAACCAATTTGCTCTGTAAAATTTCACCAAAATCATAATAA